CTGTCACCAAATGTGCACAGGGCCAGCCAAGGAGGCCCGCACACCCAGGGCCACAGCTGGGCCTGCTCCGTGGACACCAAACAGCTGGTTGCTGGCTTCCGGAGCCACAGACGGGCCGTGGGGAGAGAGGCCCCCTGAGGATGCCTCGGTCTGGGTCTGGGCTCCCCCAGGAGGCCCCACGCCTAGATCCGCCCACACACACGAGGAAGAAAGTGGGAATCAGAGCGGAGAAAGCATGAGTGTTTCTCTGGGGGGCAGGGTCCTGTCCTCACGAGAGGTGTGGCCCGGGGAGGGGAGGGAAATCTCGGGGAGCCTCAGTTTCCCTCATCTGTCGTTTGGGGGCACAGTTTCAGGTCCTGCTAAGGATGCCTGGACAGGGTAAGTGCCCGGTGCGTGGTCGCTCCCAGGGTTCTGACTTTTAACTCGAAATGCCCCACAGCACAGGCTCCATGCTCCACTCGGAGAGTCAAGGTCAAGGAGATTGTGGCGATTAGACCACTAGGAGTGAGGCTGCCTGGTGTGGAAACTGAAAATACTAGTACAAGGGGCTGGGCTCAGCTGGGCCTGGGTTCAAGTCCCAGCCCCACCTCTTGTGCTCCCATGTCCTCAGGCACATTCCTATGGCCCGAGCCTGGGCTTTCCTGTCTGTAAAAGGGGAGTCGCCCCAGCCTCACTACCGATTTCTTGAAAACAGGCCCTCAGCTGACTGCCAGACTAGAAGGTGCATCTGAGCTGGTTCTTGTCCTTGGGGAGGCCCTTCCGAGGTAGCCTGGCCTCAGTTTCCTCCGCTGTAAAATGGGGAGAATGCTGTGGCTGAGGTCAGTGTGCCCAGCCCCAGGTGCCCCGCCTGGAGACGGCAGAGGAGCCGGGGCGGCCTCCTGGCGAGGTCCGCATTCCTCGAGGAAGGTCAGAGACAGGTGCGGGCGTGGCGAGGGAGGCCCGAGACACCATCCATCTCCCGGGCCTGCCCCCCGTGCCGGCGCGGTTATTAGCCCGTGAAGACCCGGTAATGGCTCGCATCACTTCCCAGCTGTCTCCCACCGGAGCCCTCCCAGACCCAGCGAGGGCAGACTTAGGACCAGGAGGGCGCTGTCGCTTACAGCCCTGGGCACGGCCCCCGTCAAGGTTGTCCAGGAAGAATGTGGGAGCCTGGGGTGGGAGCTGGCCGTCGCCTCCTCCTGGCTGTGTGGCGGCCCCTCTGGGCCTCGGTTTCCTCATCTGTGACATGGGGGTTGCTGTTGGTCTTGCAGGGCACACCATGATGCCCTCCGATGGCCCCCTCCCTACTGAGGCCCACGGAGCTCCCAGGGCCTGGGTCCCAGCCCCATCTGTCCCATGTCCTGAGTCTTTCCCCCTCATCTCTCTGCCCCCCACCATGTGACTTCAGTCTTCAAATGCACTGCACTCCTTCCCACCTCTGGGTCTTTGCACATGCTATCCCACCTTCCTGGAGTGTCCTTTCTGCCTCCCCACCCCACCCCACCACCCCATCCTGTTGCTTATCTAACTGCTTCTCAGTGGTCAGATTTCATCTCATGTACCACCTCCTCCAGGAAGCCTACCCTGATCGCCCAGAAGCCCCAGCTCCCCCAGGATGCAGGAGTAGGAGCTGTCCATGGTGCGCCCTGCCACACCCCCTGGCCCCACTGATGTAACACATCAGGAGTGAGCGCTGTCTTGCCTGTGGACAGCATCCCGTACTTGGGCATCTCTGTTTTCCTGCCTCGGGGTTTTCTGGAAGCTGAGGAGCATTCTGTGCGCTTTCTCAGGAAGTCCCCCAGCAGTGTTGCATCCTAGCTGCCCACAGTGGTGACCAGATCAACAACAACACGCCTTTATTGCAATTTCCTTCTCTCTCTCTCTCTTTCTCTCTCTCTCTCTCTCTCTCTCTCTCTCTCTCTCTCTCTCTCTCTCTCCTTGCTTCTGGCAGTCACATCTAAAAAAATTCCCTTCCCTGTATCTGTGTCTAAGGTCCTGCTTGGGCGGGACCCCAGCTACGACGTTCTGAGAGCCAGCTTGTTCTCCGTGGCCATCCTTGTCGGCTGCTTGAAGGAAGAGCCTGGACACATTTGGGTCATCACAGCAACCCCGTGCCTAGGGCTTGGCCAACGAGCATCCTTGGGAAGAAGGGAGGGAGAGAGAGTGGGAAGGGAAAGGGAAAGGAAGGGAAGGGAAGGGAAGGAAAGACTAATGTGAGAGAGAAACATCGATTTATCGCCTCCCATATGAACATAGAAGGGAGGATGGGAAGGTCTTGAACCCTGTGTGTCTTGCTTCATATCCGGGACATGCCCGATCCTCCCCAGATACCGCTGTGTAGCCAGAAGCCACTGTGGACATCTTCCCTCGTTCTTGTCGGGTGGCCACTCAGCGTAAGGTTAGCTCCCGCTCCCCCCACGCACAGCCCTCCCCCACACACATGCTATGAATCATCAGCTCAGAAGGGCCTGCCCGAGTCTATTCTCTAAAAGCCGTGATCGAAGACTCCACCAGCCACTTTCCCGCTTTTTGACCCCACGAGCAGGTGCACCGTGTAATGGCCCTGATTTTCGAGATCTGATTAAACTGTCAGGGACGCGGCACCATCGCCATAACTCCTCCGCCTCGGGGAGGCCCAATCGCGGCAGGCCTGCGCGCCCAGGGACGTGGTAGATGGGGGTCTGTCCTCGTTCCCATCACTGGGCCGTGTTCGGGGTTTTGTTTATTTAAATTGGATGGACTGGGTGCGCCAGCGAGTGATGGATGGGCTGGCAGCGTGGGTGGCGGCTGGTGAAGGAAGTGTCGCCTTCACGCTGCCACTTGTTGATGTCGTGCGGGTCTCGGGTTCAGTGGGACATGCCCTGGTAACTCCCGGGAGATGGAGCGCGCAGTCAGGACCTGCGAGGTTGGCTTGACGGGGCGGGTAGAGCAGCCGCTGGGAGTGGGGGGAGAGGGGGTTGTGGAAAGACATGGGAATGGGGGAGGGGATGTCACATCCTGGGAGTGACTTGAAGGGGAAGCAGGATGAGTGGCCAAAAGGCAGGAAGGAAAGGACCCAACAGGTTTTGAAAATGTGTGTAAAGTAAGTCCCTGCCCGGCATTTGGGGTACAGTATGCATGACTATGAGCTAGAACTGATGGGGGTGGGGGGCTTCCCAATGCTCATAGACTCCAAGCCAAACTCTTGACCGTGGCCTCTGAGACACCATGTAATCCAGCCTCACCTCTGCCAGGTCCCCATCTCGCTTACTCTGCTCCCACCACATGGCCACTCAAGTCCTGGACTATGCCACGCTTTCATACCCCAGGGCCTTTGCACGGCCTAAACCCTCCGCCCGAAAGGCCCTCCCCGGCTGGCTCCATCCCACCATTAGTCACTCTTACAACATCCTGTCTTGTGCCAACAGAGCATTTATCATCCTGAGTAATTACGTACTTGAGTGTTTGTTTGTTTATTTGCTGTCTGGACAGGACATATGTTGTTTTGTCTTCCCATCCTCCCTTCTTTGGAGAAATCTCAGTCTCGCGTTACACATGGTTCCAGTCTGGCTGCCAGTTACAGACGCTGCCCTCCCTCCGCACATGCGCCCTGACCCCCAAAAGGGAGGTTTGACCCCCAGGCCTGGACAGTCACAACATCCCATCCCAGTTAGGGGGACTGGTCCGAGGAGTGCGCATGGGACCCAAGCCGGGACCACCGGCGTCCACGGAGCAGAGGCTGGATCGTGGTTTTCATTAAACATGTGGCCGGATTCTTTGACGCCGTTTGCTCCCAACACAAGGCGGGATCTGCCCCCTCTCCCCGTGGGCGAGGACGGCCTGGTGTGACCGCCCCAGCGAACAGATTGCGGCAGAAGACTCTGCACAACCTCGAAGGCTTGGTGACAAAAGAGGACACAGCTTGCACCTGGCTCTCTCTCTGAGGACACGCGTCTCTGAAACCCGGCCGCCATGCTGTGAGGAAGCCCAAGCCACCTGGAGAGGCCACATGTTCGGTGTTGCAGCCCCGCCGAGGCTCCAGCCGCAGCCCAGCACGAACTGTCACTCACGTCAGCGAAGGAGCCTTCGGCTGATGCCAGCCCCAGCCTTAGAGTTACTGTCGCCGATGCCAAGAGACGCGGGGACAAGCTGTCCCGCTGAGCCCCGCCGGAATGGCAGGTTTGTGACCAAAATCAATGATGTTTTAAGACATTCAGTTAAGACATTCAGTCTTTGGGTTGTTTCTTTCATATATACTAGTATTTATTGATTTCAGAGAGGAAGGGAGGGGGAGAGAGAGATAGAAGCATCAAAGATGAGAGAGGATCATGGATCGCCCGCCTCCTGCACGCCCCACACTGGGGATGGAGCCCGCAACCCAAGCATGTGCCCTGACCGGGAATTGAACCGTGACCCCCTGGTTCATAGGTCAACTCTCAACCTCTGAGCCACGCTGGCCAGGCTGGGTTGTTCCTTACACAGCAATAGAAGAAGGGTGCAGGGTGCTAAGCTGGAGGGATGTAATGTGGGGACTCTGAGCAACCACCCTCCCCGCCCCCTGGACAGGCCTGTCCGCAGGCTGAGGCCACGTGGAGACGAGCTGTGATGGGGACAGGAGGACAGAGGCTGTGGCTGAGCCCGGGCCCCACAGCTCTTCCTGCAGGTCCTGCCTGGTGACTGGTATTAACAAGTTCCCTCTGTGCTTAGGGGAGTTGGGGCCGGCTTCTTCTGTCTCCGGTGCCATGGCTTCTAGACGGATCCACAATCGCTCCCCTAGACGTGTGCTCTGGGACGCACGCACGACCCGCTTCTGTCTTTGCCCCTGTTGCACCCGCAGCGCCTGCACATTGCTGCTGGGTTTGGAGTTAAGGGCTGAGTCTGGAAGGGATGAACCCTTAGTCCTCTCATCACCCCTGTCCTGGGTAGAAGCTACCGGCGACGCTCAGAGAGGGGGGGGCGGCGCGCCTGGAGGAGGCCTGGATAATAAATCCAGGTGGTGCATTTGAACCCAAGTGATGCCTTAAGGCTCCAGGTCCCCACCGGCGACGCTCAGAGAGGTGTGTGTGGCGGGGGGGAGGGGGGGGACGCACCTGAAGGAGGCCTGGATAATAAATCCAGGTGGTACATTTGAACCCAAGTGATGCCTTAAGGCTCCAGGTCCCGGAGCTGGGTGAAGACAGAAAGAGCACCCTTGGGGACACTTCGAGGGGTCCCACAGGGGGCCCAGTGTGACAGCCTTCCTGCCAGGCCAGGGCTCCTGGCATTTGCTCTCAGGGACTCATGGACCTTCCCATGGATCTTTGCGATGACTTGCTTTATACTAGACTATGCGCCCATGAGGCAGGGTCACCCTTCTCGTTCCATTCCTCCCAGCTCCCCCCTCGCCATGTCCCCAGCACCTGTCCCAGGCCTCAGGGTTGGTCCAGGAAAGATTGTTGCCTGAGATCTGAAAGGCTCATTTCCTGAGCTCCCCCCGGACACAGATCCCACACAAAGATTCTCCCGCTGAGCTCTCACACTCGCTGCACCCACTTTATAGGCACTTGGAAGAGTTGAACTCACCTCCTCAAGGTCACTGTTTAGTTATCTTTGCTGCATGACAAACTGCCCCACCACAGAGTGGCTGCAGACAGCGACGCCGAGGATGCCACCGTCCCTGTGGGTCGGCAGTCCAGGTTCACCCAGGTCCCTGGTTCAGAGCCGCTCACGGGTTTATCCACTCAAGGTCTCGACCCCGGGGGCTGTGGTCTCATCTCAAGGCTCGACTGGGTCAGATGTGCTTTCAAGCTCATTCGCACAGCTGTCGGCAGAACTCGGCCCTGAAGGTTGTCTAACTGGGGGGGTCTCGTTTCCTCACTGGCTTTTGGCCAGAGGTCGCCCACCCTCAGTGCCTGGCCCCGTGGGCATCCCCAGCCTGGCAGCGTGCTTCCTCAGAGTGTGCAAGCTGAGGAGGAGAGAGAGCCAGCCAGCAAGAAGACAGCCACGGGCTCTCAGAGTCTCATCTCAGAAGCGACTTCCCGTCAACGTTGTCTTCTTCGGCAGCGAGTCCCTAGGCGCAGCCCGCGGCCACGGGTGGGATTCTGGGGTGTGAATACCAGACCCTGCAGAGCCTCATCAGAAACTGCGGGCCATGGTCACCCAGACAGAAAGGTTTGGCCTCAAGCAGCGTGTTTTTTCTCGATGCCACGGTCTTTCTGGAAAAATACGTGGATGGACCTCAAGGGGGAAGGGGCACCCCAGGCAGTGAGGAGAAGGGAGAGCGAGTTCCTGTTTCCTTGAGTTCTCTTGGCTGCATGGGAACAGAGAAAAGGAGAGAATGGGGGTGAGGGGGGAGGAATGGAGAAAACAGGCTCCTCCGAGCTGCCCTGAAGACCAAGCGCAGAGCAGCTTTTTCCAGCTGCTGGGCCTGCAGCTTTGGTTCTGGGAGCTCTAGACACCCCTCAGCTGCTCTGAGACACATTTCCTCATTCCTTCCAGCATCTGCACGCTGCTCAGGGCCAAGGATGCTCCAGCTGGAGGAAGGGCTGTGCAGACCTGCCAGCGGCTGGCTGCCCCCACGCCTCCGGGCCAGCCCTCTCCCAGCCTCTGGGATAGCTGTGTGCTTGCTCTCAGCTTAGAGGGCGAAGGGGAACAGATGGGCTGGAGGCGGGAGGCATGAGGAGTGGTGGTCATTATAGGGTGGGGCAATCTATTCACTCTTCTGTTCTAGAGGCCTCAGAGGCAGAGCCAGAGTGAATGTCAACATCGACCTGTGGACTTGCCACACTCCCTTCTTTGTAGTTTATAATCACGACGAAGGCCTGTTCCCCTCTCTGGACTGGTAGTTCTACTTGTAGGAAATATGATTGACTCAGGCTGTATCATCAACCTGGAGGGTACTCTGTCAGCTTAGCAAACTCCTACTCAACCCACAAAACCCCAACTAAAATGTCCTTTCCCCCTCTGACGTCCCACAGGATGTTCAGGTCTTATGATTTCCCAATAACAATAACAAAAGCTAACATTTATTGACTATCCACTATGTGCCAGGGGGTATACTAAGAACATTACACAATTTAATCCTTCCTTTGACCCATGAGGCCGATATTATTGTGACCTCCGTTTTGCAGATGAGGAAATGAGACTGCTACTTGTAGGAAATATGATTGACTCAGGCTGTATCATCAACCTGGAGGGTACTCTGTCAGCTTAGCAAACTCCTACTCAACCCACAAAACCCCAACTAAAATGTCCTTTCCCCCCTCTGACGTCCCACAGGATGTAGCGGCATTCAGGTCTTATGATTTCCCAATAACAATAACAAAAGCTAATATTTATTGACTATCCACTATGTGCCAGGGGGTATACTAAGAACATTACACAATTTAATCCTTCCTTTGACCCATGAGGCCGATATTATTGTGACCTCCGTTTTGCAGATGAGGAAATGAGACTGAAACCGATGAAAAGACTTGCCCAGGGTCACCCAGCTAGGAAGTGGCACAGACAGGGTTTGCGTTTTGGCTGGCACCGTGGGACCCAGAACTCATGGAGGGAGCGTGAGGCTGGTCTGCTTAACGGAGCTTCACAGACTCTCCCCTGACTTTCTCCCTCTGCCCCTGGGACCCACCCTCACCCTCTGGGACTCTGGTGCCATCTGTTCTACTTGACCCTCCATCGGGCAGAGTCCGGAGTTGGGGTCCTCCTGTGACGGGGGAAGTTCTGACGCTCTAAGCCCCTCCTCAGACCCACGAGGGCACACGGTGGGGGCAGAGCACTGAGAGGCCACGCGGGTCTGCAGGGACCAGCCCCTCAGCCTGGGGAGGCAGCAGGGCCAGGCCCGGGGAAGTTTCTTCTAAGTGAAGGGGGAGGTTGCGGCAGAGACAGGGGGGCAGAGGAGAAGGAGGGAGAAACCCCGCAGGAGAGACACACGGGGCCAGACAGGATGCGGGGAGAGACAGAAACATTGAGGAAGACAGAGAGACACAGGCAAAGAGACAGAGCGGGAGAGAAAGGTGAGACCTTGGAAAAGACGAGACAAGAGAGGAGAAGGGATGAGAACTACGAGAGAAACACAGGGGCCATGTGGGGGAGGACAGATGGAGAGAGACACAGGCCACGGGACGAAGGACAGGAAGGAACAGAGGGACAGCAACAGAGAGACAGGGAGGCCCAGAGGAGGGAGACAGAGAGAGGCAGAGAGAGAAAACCAGGGGGTCCAGGATCCCAAAGCGGGGAGAGGCCAGTGACTCCGCCCCATCGCCCTCGCCAGTGCCTCCTGCACAAACACGCCGGGAGCCTGGGAACCCAGCCGGGGGACGGGCACCCCTGGCTCCTGCCGCCCCATCGCCCTCGCCAGCGCCTCCTGCACAAACACCTCTCTGGAGGCAGGCAGGGTGCAGAACTCCCATCTCCCCCAAGTCTGGCAGAATCAAGTCCTCTTTGCCTTGTTCTCTGCTTTCCGCTTTTTCCTATCACAGCCAACCCCATCACACGTCCCAGGCAATTTTTTTTTTTTAAGGAAAACAAGTCTTTCGAGGCAGAGGTGACCCCGCGGTGATAAGTGAGGAGTTCACCTGCGAGTGTGTTATCAGCCTCCGTGGCTGCCCGGGCTCAGATTTCTCATTTCGATGAGGCGGCCCGGGAAATTGGATGCAACCCCGCGGTCCTCCTCTGATGCGCATCCTCGGGCCGGGCCTGCAGGGCAGCAGCCTGGCTGCTCCTCGGAGGCCAGGGAGGG